TGTTCCTGTTGTCCAGCTGTCTCCTTTTACCACAAACTAACAGAGAGGTAGAGGAGTCACAACTTCTCAACTCACCTCGCTTATTCATATTGATAAATTTATATTCATCGTCAAAGCAAAGACTAAAACAGGAGTCACACCAAAGATACCAAGCCATGAAAGAAATGACATTTTAGTATCTCGATTCCCTTGATTTGTCAACCATTTCAACCGCTGTAAGGAACAGCTTTGTACTGAATTTACTATAGCAGTGCTCATAAATTGGCCTTCAACAGACTTAACCAGCTTCAATTCAGTAAGTAGAATTCTCCACCTGGGGTTAGAAATATGGAGTTAAGCATATATATTTACTTTCCTCAAGTAATGACACCATGAATGGAAAGACTCCTAAAAAGACAAATTCTCTGCAATTTAGGAAATGCAGGGACAATGAAAATTCTAATAATAAACTTGAGACAGACTAAATACCACATAATTAGCACACTTCAGCCAAAGACAGAAGAAAAACATGCAATTAAATCTGAATACTTTAGGAAAAAATCGAAATGTCCAATAATAGCTAAATCAACCAGAATGAGAGAGGTTATAAAAAAACCTCTGATTTCCCCAATAAAACAAAAATTTTGGACCACACAGACAAGGTTGGAAGAAAAGGGGATAAATACACTACTGATACAGAAAGTGAAGATGACTGAATTTCAAAGAACAAATGGCTGATTTTCCAGAAGTACCCTGGAAGGCTGGATTTGTAAGAACAAACAAATAAAAATGTAAGTGCCTCCCTGGGGGTGCAGGGGTTAAAGGCAGCACTATCAAGCTATCACCAGCCACTGCAGCATGAATTATATCCCACGCAAGCCAGGATGGCGCAGCAGACCTCTCCTGTCTCGCCCGTTGCTCCCCTCAGCAGTGTGTTTCAGTCAGTCTGCCTGTTCTGCTCCCCACTCTGTCTCTGGTAAATTCTCTCACCCTCCAACCCCCCACACCTCTGGTCTACACCCCGGTTCTTGTATGCATAAATAAATAAATCTTTTTTTTTAATGTGTAAAATTCAGTTGACATGTGTTCAGTAAGTGCTAACTATGCATAAAACCCCATGTAGGAGCTCTTTGGGGGTGGGCATGTGACAAAGGTGGAATGGATGGTCCCTACACTGGTACCCTAAGTTCCTAGAGGGAAAACCCTTATCAGTGACAGGAAAGTTCGAAGTAGAGTAGAAGTCCCCAAGGTATCTTTGTGTCACTCAAGATTTGGGTTTGTCCATGCCTTGGTTGAGACGGGAATCACCACATGCTCCAGTGGCAGGCCCAGGAGGAAGCCTTGCCCCACTCCCATTTCAATCTGCCTGTCCTCAAGCCTGTCCTTCAAATTGAGCTTGTTAGACTCAATGAAGCACAGACCTATGTCTAAGTTACTTTAGTTACAATGTTATTTAAATGTATACAAATATAGACATTGGTGTAAATTACTTATGTGTGGTGAAAAACCAACAAAATTATAAATTCAATATAGTTCTCTCTTGACTTACAATGGGGTGATATCCCAATAAAATAAAACTTTATAATTGATTTTAGCCTAACTTGGCCTAACTTAAGAGTACTCAGAAAGTTTACAATAAACAGCCTCAGCTGGACAAGATCATCTAACACAAAGCTAATTTTATAACAATGTCGTGAATATCTCACTTTTATTGAATACCATACGGATGGTTTCTAGTGAATATGTTTCACTTTCATACTACCATAAAGTCAAAAAATTGCAAGGGATCATGCTCAGCGAAATAAGCCAAAAAGAAAAAGAAAAATACCGGATGGTCTCACTCATAGCAGGAATCTAGAAAACTTAAATAATGGACCAGGAAAATGAATAACTATAAGAAAGTGAAAATCAAAATCAACAAAAAACTATGAACCAGAGACACTTTTTGGGGGGCGGGGGCGGGAGGGGAGGGATTGGGGTCAGAATGGGGGGGCTGCAATTGTATGGGGAATATAAAAATAAAATTTATTATTTAAAAAAAAAATTGCAAGCTGGGAGCATCTGTATGGATCAAAGATAAATTTTTTTAATCAAATAAATGGCAACAAACTTTCTGCACATAGTGCCCAGCACAAAACACAAACAAGACCTGTATCTGTGGATTGAATGCTGAAGAGTGGCTTTTTTTCATGACACTTTTGAACTGACTTTGTAAAAAATGTGGGAAGGGCTGCAATGGAAGTATCCTGACCCCAAACCCCAACAGCAGAAAACTTACTTGGGAAGGAAGGGGCAGAAACACAGCTTGGGAAACAGTCACCCCTGGCCTGGAAGTACCCCAAAGAGGGAGTTCTGCTGGTTTAGTTTACTGTGTACCCCAAGCACCTGAGATGTTCTAGCAATTGGTGGAAGTTCAACTTGCATCATAGTTCTCCTAGGCCTTTATAACAAGGTACTGCAGACTGGATGCCTACAGCAGAAATTTACTTCTCACAGACCTGGAGGCTGGCAGTCAAGATCAGCTTGTCAGGGGCTGGGAAACACTCTTCTGGGGTGCAGACTTCCGAATCTTTGGTAGAAAGACAGGGAGACAGCTTTCTGGGGTCTTTGTGAAAAGAATATTAATCCCATTCATGAGAGCTCCACACCTCCTTATACTTTCACATTGGGGGCTAGGATTTCAGCCTATGAATCTGGGAGGGGGTGGCGGCACAAGCATTATCTATAAGAGCCCCTCTGTTGAGTGCTCCAATTTTGTGAACCCACACACAGAAATGGCCCCAGCCTGCTTCCTGAGAACCCTGCAGTGGGCCTTGGGCTGACTTAATCCTAGGCACTGCTGAGAACAGAGACTGGCAAATATTAGAAAAGTGAGCTGCCATTTCAGGTCAGGAAAAATCCATCATCAACAGAGAACAGGAGGTCCTGCCACAGTGGGTGTTCAATTGCTGTCAAAACAGACAGGAAAGACGGGCCTCCCTTACACCTGGAGTGAACACTTTATAGATTGGGGTAATTTCAATAACCCACTGATTAGAAATTCTTCTTCTAACTCCTCTGACCTCCTTGTCTTTTTTTTAATGGAGAGAAGATTGATTTTTAATATGATTGCTGTGAAAAGAATTGTTGGGAGAAAGAAGAGCATTGGCAGTGGGTTCAGCTAGGCCCCAAGAACCTGGACACCCGTGGTGGCCAGCAGCAGGCCCAGAGCTGCTCCTACAGCCTGGTTTCCATGGCTGTGAGCCCAGCCCCACACCTACAAGGCACTAGGCTTTACCGGGCCCTTTTGGCTCGGTACCCTCACCACGTTCAAATCGGCTAAGGCTTCCCATTGTGCTCAGGTTAACATCTAGAGTCCTGTTACTGTCACCACTCTCACCCCACTCCACCTCTCTTCTCTGCAGGCATGTGCCCTATGGTTCCTCTGACAGTCAAGACTGTTTCTCTCCCCAGGCCTCTGCATGGGAATATACTCCAAATTACGCCACAGTTCACTCCACAGCTCTACTCAAATGTCACCTCTCACCCCCAGGCTAAAAGATCACTCCCAGCTCCCTCTACCCCTTCACTCTGATTATTTTTTCTTCAAAATATCCACCCCTACTTGTCATTATATAATGTATTTGTTTGTTCTTTGATTTATCCTGTGTCTCCATGCATGCTCTCTTATCACCCACCATTCAGTCCCCAGTGCCTAGAATAGCGCCTGGCTGGAAGTACTTGAATAATATTTATTTATTTATTTACGGACTGAATGAACATATCTTCCCAGAGGACAACACAGTACATCTACCCAAAGGCATTTAACAAATGCATCTGCAGAATTTGTTAGATTAGCTAAAGGAACACCTTCATTCATCTCAATATCACCTTTGCAAAGTTAAATAATAATAGTAACAATAGCTGCAGCCATGGGGGCCTTAGCATGTTCCAGACACTGTAGGTGGCATTTGCATTGAATTTATTTCTCACAAGCTAGGAACTGAACTGTTCCTGGGACAAGAAGAAACACCAAACCCAGCATGCTCAATGACCCTGACTATCCAGGTTGGTGGCTGGGGAGCTGGAAGTCAGCTGGCCAGCAGCCCAGTGCCTCAAAGGAGGCTCTCAAGGAACCAGTAAATCTCAGATTGGCAGAAATATGCCTAGAATTTTGGCTTTTCTCCAATTTCTTTGGAGGAAAAAAAATGTATAATTATTGGCTTCTATCTTTCTCTGCTAAGAGAACATCCCCGGGGATGGCAGGATTTCCAGAGAACCCACCAGGCTCTGGCAGTCCCAGTGATTTACAGCCCTGGGAATAGAGTCCCTTGGGGAGTTTTAAAAATACAGATCTCAGGGGCCTTCCCGGTGGCGCAGCGGTTGAGCGCTGGGTTGCGAGGCTGCCTGCAGCTTCTGTGGCGCGGGTTCGATCCCTGGCTGCTCCCCGGCCACCGGAGGAGGGTCCCACATGGCGCGCAGACCTCTCCTGCCGCCCGCTGCTCCCCTCAGCAGTGTACCTCGGTCCTTCTGCCTGCTCTGCTCCCCAATCTGGCTCTGGTGAATTCTCTCACCCTCCCGCGCTTCTGACTGCACCCAGTGCTTGTATAAATAAATAAATAAAATCTTTAAAAAAAAATACAGATCTCAGGCCTGACTGCTGATATTCTGCTTACAATTGCTGAGGGGTATGCCCAGGCATCTGCATTTATTTTATCGAGCTCCATGGTCCTTTCCAAAGTGGAGGGAGGGTTGAAAAGCCTCAGAAGAGGGAGGGGGTAGTGAGGCAAGGATGATGGTAAAGGGATTGAGGAGTCTTACTTTCTAAGGAAAAACACACAAGACTGATGTTTCCTTTTGGTTCAGCCCCCCATACGGCTCAGCATTGTTAATGATCCAGTCTTTATTTAAACATTTTGATATTTTGCTCATTTTGGATTTTTTGCACTTATTTTGATTCTAAAAATTTGCTTTATAATGTTAAATGTGTTGATTATTGTGTTTTATGGCACCATCTTAAATGTTGTATCTGAAACAAGTACCTTAATGCTCTTCCCTGGCCCCCCGTCCTGGGAGATGCTGTATGGGAGCGTGGCTGGGAGGAGCAGCAGAGACCTGCCAGCGAGGAAATGAGTTTTCCTTCTCCATTTTTAGGTGGACCTGAAGCAATGAAGAGAGCTGAAATGGTATCTATTCTACTGCACGACCGGGAGCTCCCACCTGTCCCACTCCCCAGGGAAGGCAGCCTAAAGACCACCTTAGTGTGATTGTACCTCCAACTCCACTGTTTCCTGAAGCTCCAGACTCCTGCCTTCAACTTCTTATTTCGAGCTCTAGTTGAGTATGTAAATTCATCTTAAACTTGTTCAAAATTGGTCTTTGGGTTCCAAATCCTTCCCAGTCCAAGAACAAATCAACAAGTGTGCCTTCCTAGGCTTGCTCGTCTCTGTCATCACCATCACTGGCTCTGTCCTCCAATCAGTTCCTCTCCAGCACGTCCAATCCATTACTGATCTTGTCTGCTCTATAACACGCCTCTATAACAAGCCAAGAGGCATCTTATGTCCACCTTCAGGGACACCCTCCTGCCATCTCCATTGCCTACCTGGACCCTGAAATGCCACTCAGCAATTTTTCCTCCTAAGCAACCCGAGTCATTCTAAATCTTAATCTGATCATGCAGCTCTGCTTCAATCGTCCAATCCAAACAAAACAGAACACTTTCCCATAGTTTTCTATGACAATCGGACACACACCTGCTGCTTTGGTTCCTGAAGCCTAGCTGACTGGTTGTCAAGCCATCCAAACTCACTCCCAACCACCCTTCTCCTCTTCACTGTCTGCAGCCACACCCACCCTCTTCCTGGCTCTTTGAAAAGCCAGAAACAACTCAAAGACCCCATATCAGTCCAAAGATGGAACCAGACGTCTACAAAATTTGCTAAAACTAGTCCTTAGCTGCCATTAGTTTGCCCACGTATTTGCTTCACCACAATTTACTGCCCCGAAAAGCTCAAAGTCGTTTGTTTTCTCTTCACACTTCACTACAAAATCACTCCTTTGAGTTACTCATCATTGACTATTCCCATGTGTAACATGTTTCTGCATGTTAATAAACTTCTGTTTTTGTTTTTCTCTTGTCAATCTGTCTTCTGCCAGTTTAATTGAATCAGTCAATGAACCTAATATGGTTAAAGGGAATATGAATTTCTTCACTCCCCTACAACAGTTCTTAGGATTCCTCATAGGGTGGCCCAGGGCTACCAAGATACATTTCCCAAGAGTGCCACGCAGACCCTGCATCTCTAACCTTGCCCCAGGGCCCCCCAGAGTTGCTTCTATCACATTCTTTGGTCAAGGTAAAGATTTGCTGGCAGTCCAAAAGGCCCTCCCAGGCATAAGGGAAGGATATAGCCTCCACCTCTTGATGACAGGTGTGTCAAATGTTTTCATAACACACCCACAAATACACATACATAGATTTGTAAAGTGCTACTTGGGAAGCCCCTTTATATCTTTAAATCAATTTAAAATTAAAGTAATATAAAAGTTTTGCATGCAATCATAAGGCAAGAAAAAGAAAACATATTATAAGATAATGCCCTTCTCGCATCATCATCATGCAGAAAATAAATAGTAATGTCAAGAATCTGGGGATACCAAGATACTGTTTTATATACCTTAGCATCTTTAATTTTAGTTCCTTTTGTAGATTATCTTTCAGGTGTAGAGTCTATAAATGCATGCCAATATATTTATATTTATGCAGTTGCCATAGAAGAAAGAACAAAGCTTTTTCTCTTTTTTAGCTAAGCAGAAAGGCACACTGGGAAACAGAAAATGCAGTGTTTGGGGTGGGAGTTGGGAGAGTCTTCATAAAGGGGTTCTGCCAACCAGTTAGGGTCTCTGAGAGGCAGAGGGACCATGCAGAAAGCATGGACAGTGATAACTGATGCAGCCCACATGCTATTTCCTGTGGGTCTCCAGTCACACAGAAGGTTGCTTTCTCTGGTCCTCTAAGCTTGGATAGGCAAGAAATGTGCATTGGTTAGTAAATGAGGTATTTCTGGGCTGACAGCTAAGGTGAGTGTGTGTTACTACACTCCCCCTCCCTTGGCACCTGCTGGGAGGACCTCTCGCAGTCTGAGTCCCTTACTCATCCCTGCATGAAAGCAATGAAGAGAAGTGCTCTGTCCACTCCTGGTGAATGTGGAGCATGAACAGTAGCAACACTTTATAACTCTATGTCATCTCGCACTCCTGACTGAGACAGCAGGCATGGACTGGGGGTTGGGTCAAATCTCTGCCACTAACGGAGGGATTGGACAATTAGTTGCCCTCACAGAGTAAGAAGTACATATTAATGCCTCTATCAAATCACAGAAAATATGTATGAGATTTAAATGAAGACCCTGTGGGGGAGCAACTAGCATAGTAGGTGCTTCGTAAAGCACATTCTTCCACCTGCTGGCTCCCTGGAAGGTTAAAGGGAATATGAATTTCTTCATATTCCTCCTCATTGAGATGAGGGCATGTGGGTATCTCCACAGCCTTTTCTGTTCTCACTCTCTGATAGACTTAAAGATTTTTATACAGTCATGAGCTCCTGCATTTGCCTTAACAATGATGGATTATTTGGAGGGGGACATTGAATGCCCAACTGTGCCTTTTTCTTGAAAGAGAGGTAGAATTGTTCTGTGCCCTGAGAATCATTTACCGTGTTCATAAAACACTTGGCAGTCTCTTGCAAATAAATTAGCGCTCAGAGCCACAGGCTTCGAGGATCTGCCCCTGAAGGTGAGTGGTAGACCTCGACGAAAGCCACATACTTTATTCTTTCAGCTGCTGATTAACCATTCCAGACACTGGCTGTTTATTTTTCACTGGCTTCTGTGATTAGATCTGCTTGGCTGACTGCATTTCAAGGCTTCGCTCTCAGTGAAACCATTTTGCCATTTAATAAGGCTGAGGGTAGAGCGTGACTGTTGTAAATCCTAGGAAGTCAGGTCAAGGTTGACCTCTCCTCCTTTCAACCTCTTTGTAGTGTTTTCTTCTCCATCAAATGCTTGTCAGTAGCAAACAAATATTTTCAGACTTCTTCTCCAGCAAATTTTCCTTCACCACAGGATTCTTTAAACAACAAATAATGTTGGGGTGCCTACCCTGTGCCAGGCTGTGCTTTAGGTGCTGGGATTCAGCACGGGGTTTGCCTTTGTGGAGTCTAATGGGAAACAGACCTTTAAAGGAACAATTAGCAAACTAATGGAAAATGACAAGGCTGGTAAGTACTGTGAAAGCGATATCTAGTGAGGAACCACAGCCATGCCGGGTGTAAGGTGAGGGGGAGGGAGGGAGGCCTCACACGGATGTTTCCCCAGTGCGTGCTTACTTTGCAGCTTCTCTGGGGACTATACACACACTCACCTTATTGCCACAATTTCCAAATCTTTACCTCTAAGCCCTTTTTGGAGCCTCTATTTTGTTTCTAACTGCCAGTTCCAGATCTTATAATAAAATTAAACATATATCAAATACTTAATTTGTTTTACATTTATTTATGTGATGCTTCTCACACGTACTGTTATTATTCCTCTTATTATTTTGTTTTTATTATACAAAATAGTATATTATTATACTCTTATTATTTTGTTTTTGAGAACACCAAATTGCGGAGGTGTCAAATACTTGCTTAAGGTCACATATTCCAGAAATGGCAGAACCCAGGTTTTGAACCCTCAGCTCTGATACTAAACTGGGGCCTTTTACCTCCCTCCCATCCTAGTGCCACTGGATGGCTTTGGCACTTCATATTAAAATGTCTACAGCCAAGCACTTCTTCTTCCTCCCTACCCAGCTGCCTATCCACCTACCCTCTAGAAAACTGTCTTTTCTGAAAATGGCATTTTCATTCTCTCTGGTACTTAAACTTGAGTCATCTATAACTCCTTCCTCTGCTTCCTCCATCCTATAACCAGTTGCTAAGTTCCATGGCTATTTCCTTTGCAAAGTCTCCTAGCTCATCATAACAGCTCTTAAGTGATCCAGTGTCAGCCTTGCCTCTCTCCAATTGATCCCACAAATGACAACCAACGTTCACCGTCTGAAATCCTGGTCAGTTGAGTTCCTCCCTTCATCAAATACATTTTGGTTTCCTAAGGAAAATCCACATCCTAAGTTCAACATTCCCCCAAAACCTTTCTTGTGGGTTGCACATTTCTCCACTGGAATTTACTGATGTGCTACCAAAACTCAATATGCCTCTGACCAAACCACATCACCTGTTGTAAAAACTCCCCTCACCCTGTGCATTCTCCAACCCTCCCTTTAGCAGTAGAATCCCAGAGGGTTAGCAGAGCACAAGACAACATTTTCCATTTTCTCTGCAACGAAGTATGGCCAAGCAACTGACCTCTAGCCAACGAAATGTGAACAAAAAGGATATGGAAACTTGAGGGTCAAGCCCTTAAAGGGAAGAGATATGACCTCCTTGCTTCCACTGGAGCCAGCTGGACTTGGTGGTCGGCCACCTTGGATGATGTAAATGACAGAACAAGGTAGAAGGGGCCAGTGTCTCATCGCCATCTTATTCTAAACTGGTCATACCTCAACATCTCCGTGGAAAATAAATTTCCCTTTTGTTTGTCATTTTGCACACATGTTGTAGAAGAAGAAAATATCTTTCTCCTCTACTTTATGTTTTTTTTTTCAGTTACTTTTTTTTTGAGGTTCCAACTCAGCAGCAATAATTTTTTTTAAAAGATACTAACCTTTGCTGCCACATTTCTTTAAAAGTGAAGAGAACAAATCACAAAAATGTCTCTGAGCATTTTTTTTTCCTTTCAGAAATGAACCCTGAAAACTACCCCTCCTTTGCTTTCTGGACAGTCAGACCTCCCTTCTGTTCTGTTAACAGAAGAAAATTTCTGAGCATCAGGATAGGGGGCTCCCACACACAGGGAGTCTGAACTATAAATATCTGTGGTGACAGATTTCTCCATAGGGAATAAAAATGGAGAAATTTGTAATGAAAAATAAGGAAGCCCCTCATCTCTCTTCTGTGAACAGGATTCCAATTATCCTTACTTGCCTTTGGGCTCCACGTTGCTGTCCGTTTATAATTTCCTATAAATCCTTTAACTCTGCTGTTTTTTCCAAATGCA